ACTAGTTATCTGGCAGCTCTCCGAGCANGAACCCAGAAGGACATTTCTTTCATCAGAACATCATAGGGTCAAGTTCTTTTTGAGCTTCACTGTGTTTCTCATGTTTTATTATTTGGTCCTTATTTGTTGCTTCTTGATTCTGGCTTTTAGAAGGCCTCTGTCTTTACCTCCATCTTCCCCCCTCCTCCCCTCTTTCTTTCATGGTTATGTTATCTTCATTTTCAGCACTTTGGAATTCCCTCCCTCAATTGGTTTGTTTCACTTCCTCATTGGCACCTTTTAAGGAAAGCCTGGAGACCTATTTTTATGTTTCAGCTTCCATCCCCCATCCCCCAACCCAATAAAATCTGGATTTGAATTGCTGACATAACTGCCTTTGCTTTTTTTCTGATGATTTATGTATTATTTTATTCATGAGATTGCTCTCGCCTCAATCTTTAATGGACCATAGGCAGCTTGCAGATACTAGTACTAAATGAGACAAACATAATAAATAATACAAAATCATGGTAAATACAAAAGTTGCTTCAAATCATCAAAACTAATCCTGGCACCAATACAGGTCGATAAGCAAATCCCTTCTAGAAGAACTGGGCTTTTCCAACTTCTGGAGTCCCAATGGGGTGGAGGATCCCCCAGGCTGTCCCCCAAGAAAGGAACTCGCACACAGAGGTCCCACCAGAAGCACTCCTCTGCATTGGGCTGAGAAAGTATTCCCCGGGAGTGGAATGGGACAACTCGCCACAGCCAACTCGGTGCAGGACAATTCAACAATTCTGTTATTTAAAATACTTTTAAAATTATTTTAATATTTGACAGTCACATTTCATTATGTCCCTCCCTCCTTTGGCAACTTTTCTTTAATGATTCTATACCACTATTTCTTCAATATTCTTCAAGAGAAGGGGTTAGAGTGCACTACTGCAGGCTACTAACCGAGCCGAGGTGGCACAGTGGTTAAATGCAGCACTGCAGGCTACTTCAGCTGACTGCAGTTCTGCAATTCGGCTGTTCAAATCTCACCGGCTCAGG